GAGCCTTCTCTTCTCCAGCTGAACCCCCCAACTCTCTCAGCCTGTCCTCACAGGGGGATGCTCCAGCCCCCCGAGCATTGTTGTGACCTTCTCTGGCCCCGCTTGAGCAGGTCCGTGTCCTTCTGCTGTTGGTGCCCCCAGAGCTGGACCCAGCCCTGCAGGGGGGTCTCCTGAGAGTGAAGCAGAGGGGGAGAATCCCCCCCTCGCCCTGCTGCCCACCCTGCTCTGGGTGCAGCCCAGCACACGGGTGGCTCATAGTCAGTTTTCCACCCACTAATACTCCCAAGTCCTTCTCCTTGGGGCTGCTCTCCATCCACTCCTCGCCCAGACTGTGTTTATGCCTGGGATTGCCCCAGCCCAAGGGCAGGACCTTGCCCTTGGCCTTGCTGCACTCCATAAGGCTCACACAGTCCCAGCTCTCCAGGTCCCTCTGGATGGCACATCCCTTCCCTCCAGCGTGTGACGGCACCACACAGCTCGGTGGTGTCGCTGAACTTGCTGAGGGTGCCTCGATCCCACTGTCTGTGTCTCCAACAACGATGTTAAACAGCGCCAGTCCCAACAGCCACCCCTGAGGAATTACATTCGTCACTGCTCTCCACTTGGGCACGGAGCTGTTGACCGCAACTCTCTGAGTATGACCATCCAGCCAATTCCTTATCTACCGAGTGGTCCATCTGTCAAATCTACGTCTCTCCAATGTAGAGACAAGGATGTTGTGCAGGACAGTATCAAATGCCTTGCACAAGTCCAGGTGGATGACGTGACGTTTAACAAACTGACTGCTGGTTAAGTGACTTTTATTCCTGTGAAACTGGAAGCTCCGTTCACGAGAAGAGCAGAGGCTGGTGCTCTGTGTAAGAGGCACTTCTTGCCCCTGAGAACTGACTGCATAAAATCCTCTCTCTGAATTAGGGGTAAGTTCTGTCAGTAACAGCTCTGCAGAGGGACAGAATTAATGCTCCCATTTTTCTCACTCACACTGTAACCTCTGTGTTCCCCAGACGTGCTGGATTCTGTTGTGCCGTCGTACAGTCAGTCTAACAACTGACTTGCTATACATGACTGACTGTATGTACTGAATACAATTACACAGCCCAGTGGCCATTTGCCTGCTGAGCTGACTGCCAGATGTTTGGAAATCCCAGACAAAAGATGAAGTTATGCCTTTACCATCCAGCCACAAAATCCACGTGGAAAAAGGATGTATCTGAGGACATGTAGAAGCGATACAGTAGCTGTAGGTTAAAGCAGACTCTGAGGAAGAGGAAACAGGCACTGGCCTGGGTAGTGCAAATTACAGAATCCACTGTATGACAGGGGTGCCCATCACTTTTCTTTTTTGGCTAGACGGAGCTCCGCACAAGACACAAAGCTGCTCTGAAAGTCTGAATCAGGCTTCCCTCCCACGTGCATTTCTGACATTTCAGAGGAGTATAGTTTGTACAAATCCTATGTCCAGAAGTGTTATTGCACATCTACTTTCTTTGTTACAATCCATCAGCCTCTCACACTCCCACCCCCAGCCCAAAAATTGACTATTTTATGAAGGAAAAAAATACATCTGAAAATTTAGACATGCCAAACAGTCCCCAGGATCTGGCAGCACAATCAGAGTCCCCCACAGGAAGGATTCTTTCAGAGGCAGCTGCTGGCTGCCTCTCTGGACCTTTGCTCCTTGGTGCTTCACTATGCTGAGGAGTCCTTGGGGCACACTGTAGGCAGAGCCCATGAGGACTCTCACAAGGAGATGATCCCTTACTTGCTCCTCTCCCCACACAGACAAACCCATCCTATTACCACACCCTACCCACTGAATCGCTCTTCAGGTTAGAGCTCACTGAACAGACTATCTCACTAATCAGAGACTTTTTAAGTGCACTCAAATTGCTTCCACCAAAATCCAGTTTTGGTGACTAAGAGCATTAAAAAAAAACCACCCAATTTTTCTTTGCTCCAACCCATTCCTGACTCAAAACACTAATCCCCTTTGTGCCTTTCCTCCAGAGCCAGTCCCAACCTGCAGCCCCTTCTGTCTGGTAAAAAACATCTGCAGGCTTCACTTAAGCCCCATAAGAGCACATTGGAAAAGAACAGCTTTTTCTTCTGTCCCACGGCAGGGCTGGTGCAGGGAGCTGGCTGCAGAGGGTCTGCCTTGGGAACAGGGCAGGAAGAGCTTCTGTGCACCTGAAGGATGCTATAGTGTCCCCCTCCTACCCCTCTTACTGTACTTGCAGCCCTCCAGACTGACAAGGACATTGTAAAAATCACCATGGGGTTATACATCTCCTCTTCAGGGAGGAGTTTTGACTGGTCCACACAAAAATATTTTGCAGTTCTTAAAAATAAATTAGAGAAAAAACTAGTTCTCAAGCATTACGCAGCTGAAAACAGCGTCACACAAAACAAACATATTGAGGAACAAATTTAAACAGTTTTTCCATTTGTTCAGAAGCTTTTTTTAACATATGTAAATCCATAAAGGATCCTCCTCTATAAAAGCCCTTGTTCATGTCTGGTTCTAAGCAGGTTAGCTAAGTTTCTTACGTAACTATTATGATAATCACAAGGCTAGCAGCTGCTTATGCTTCTTTTGATTTTCTTCTTACTCTTCCTCCTCTTCATGCAGTAGATGAGATGTGTTAAGAAAGTCACAAGGGATAACTGAATACTGTCTATGGCTTCTAGGAATAAACTGCATTTAGAGCAGGAATCCAGGGACCAACAGAAGGTTGACTACCTCTACTCTACTTTAAATCTGACTGTTCAAGTTTCCAGTTTGTCAGAACATTTAGAAACAGCATTAAAGTCTTCATTACCCTCATTTGGGCACCTACAGTTCTGCTAGCAGCAGTCTGTGGATGTCTGAGGATCTGCTTTTGAACATGCCTCACAGACCACGTGGCCTGAACAGCGCCCAGTGTCCCAGAACCTGCGGCAGCAGAGTAAGAGACTCTCTCAGCACAGATCTAATTGCACAGGTTTACTTTTCTCTCTGCAGAACACAGCAAAACAAGCTTGGGAAGCTTGTGACAATCCCTTTATCTTGAAGCTCTGTGGTCTAAGCATTACGCGTGTCCAATGTCACCATGAACAAGTTTTCCAGCCTCACAGGTGAGGGCTCCAGCCACAGAGATTGTCACAACCAGCTCCATGAAGAGCAGGAATTAGATGTATTTCATGAAGTAGATTACATGCACCAAACTAATACAGAGGCCTTGGGTGATCAGCTCACTGAATCAACACAGATGATGTGTTGTTTGTTTGTTTGTTTTTTAAAAACAAGTCTTGAAGCACAGGGAAGTTCCTGAGAGTGTATGATACATCAAAATTTAAATAGAATAATCTTTAATGGGCTAGCTGGTGTCAGGCAAACTTACAGAAAGCCCAGTGTAGGCTGCAGCCATTTGAAGGCTTACAACAGAAATGTGCAAAGTTCTATTAAAAACAGCCTTTAAAAAACCTCTCTGCATACTATTTCAAAATTGCCTGAGAAGTCACCTCACAAATTTGATTCTGAAAAATAATTACAAAAGGCTATACTTTTAGGGTCATACTTTATTGCAGCTGTGCACTTTCCCTCTCTCCTGGTGCCTAACACCATGTGGCTCATAGTAAACTGAGCTATTATTTTCTCAGCACAACACTTTATCATTCTTCTATAACCTGCACTATACAATAACCTGCACTAGGATGACTAGGACATCAAATTGTCCATAGACTCTCCCACTTTATTAAAAAAAAAAAAAAAAAACCCAACCAAAAAAACCAACTGTTGTCAGAACAAAAAAGTTTGAAAACTGTTGTCTGAATCCATCCTGTCCCAGGACAGGATCTGTCCATATCTGTATCAAACCCAGTGATATTTATCTAGACTGTTCCTAAAAACTTCCCATGGTGGAAACTCCAAAACCTTGCCACAACTATAATTACCGAAGGTTTAATTCTCCTTAAAAATAAAAATTGTGACCCAGCCATTTTTTGCTGTATTTCAATACACACCTTCTTAGATTGTCCACCAACTGTCAAACACCAGAAATCGTACTTCTCAGTGCTTTACGAGGAAGGTCACAAATATAACTTGCTAGCAAAAACCTGGCAATAAAATACAGTTCTAAATATACTGCAGACAAACCCAGCATTGTCTCCCTTTTCCTTGCTCATGAACCTCAATCCTATTGCAAATCTCAACCCTGTTTCTAAACAGGACATTTCTACCACTCCTAAACTTCATAAAGGGGGAAGCATTTGTTTTTACAAGGTATTCTGTGAAAGAAACTGTTTTTTCCGAACAAAGTTACAATGAAATCAACAGGAGCACCTGCAACTTCCAACCAGGATTTTAGAATGTTGGAACATTCAAAACTCCAGTGTTAACAAATAAATAAATATTTCCTGATTGTGACACTATATATAATTGCTTTTGTCCTGTATTCATAAGCAACATGTGCTATTCCTTTCATGAGTGGAAGAAATGGCAACTTTTCTCTTCAGAATGCACCTACTGTCAGAAGTCTGCAGTGACCTCATTAAAAGTTATTTCCATAGCCACCAGGCTGTTTGCTTTTGAGTTACTAGTGGTTTCTCATAGAGCAGGAAGAACTCAAAATAGTTTAGCATGGGCCAAGCTCAGGCCACTGCCACCCATTTCTTTACAGTTAATGTCTATCAAAGGGCTTCCTGTTGCTCTTACTAGATTCTCTCTTTAATTGATCTTCTGTGTCTTGATTGACAGTGGAATTAACCTGAATCAGCACTGGCTTTCTCTGACCTATACAAAATGCATAGGTCAGTCCTGGCCTCACTAGACTTGTACAAGCTATTGCAATCACTGTCCCTCCCTTGGGACACAGGGCTGGCTAAGCTGTCCTGCCCAGAGAGGATTCTGCTCACAGAGAGAGCAAGAATTTAAGTCTCTAAATGCCTTTGGAAGCAAACTTGCTTGTTGAGGAAAGCTTCTGCTGAGAGACCTCACCTCAAAAATGAAACTTAACTATCTCTTACAAACTTTGTTAAAAATCCACAGGTATGCAACAGAAAACTTTTGTTTTGTTTTAAATAAAACATCCCAGAACAGCACAGGCAACAAACTATTCATTTAGCCATAGCTGAATCATCAGGAAACATGCACTGAGATGTCACTGTGCATTGTGTAAATCACTGCTGGTAGTGCAAATGGACCTGAAGTAACGTGAGCGCCCACACCTCTACACAGCTGTGCTGATTTGTTCTAACTTGTCTATTTGCTGCTGCTTCGTTACCATGACAAAGGTTTAGCATAAAATACTGAACAGATTATGTATTTTCCTGGATATTGCCTTCAGCTAGCTCAGGTACAGCTGTTACTGTTGCAGCCACACCTTCTGGCTTTGGGGTATACATAAGGCGCAGAATTCAAACTACACGTTTAGATCATTGCCACAATGGAGGGATGATTAATCCAGGATTGAGGGAATATACAAATCTGCCAGCCTAATTATTAGACACAGTTAATTACAAGGTTTTTTTCCCTAATTGAAATGATTCTGCTGTCACTTCACATACAAGGATTTAGCAAGGAAGCGCAGACATAAGAGAACCACAGTAATCACTTGTAACAATGAGTTCTGCCAGCTGCACAACGCTGCACACAGAATCTGTTCCTGAAACTTCCAAACTCCCTACGAAGGATGAGATCCAATTATTTTCATCTCGATACACATCGCACCTTCCAGCTCTTCTCAAATTTCAGGCTGTGTATTTCAAACAATCATTTATCACAGATTTATTTGCTACTGTTCTCATTGACTGACATTTTCTTCCCGTAACTATGTAATGTTAAAGCCACCTATCATACCTTCTTTAAATGGGTGAAAAGCAGATCTCTTCAGAGCAATAAACAACCCTTGGATGCGTATTCTCTGATTTATTATATACAAGTATAGTTGCAGACGCACTCCTTTCTGATGCTGCCTTGACTTTCAAGTTTAGCTGCCTAACATTCAGCATTTAAAAACCACACACATATATATATAATTCAGCTTTTCCGTGGTGCTGAGTATCTAAAATTCAGTCATTTCTATAACGAGGGGGGGACCTAACTCTACATCGTTAAACTGAATTAAAAAAAAACCAACAACAAAAGAGAACAAAATTCTCTGACTAGTGCTGGCAAATTACAGACAGAACCATCATATTATGCCTTTCCCTTTAATTACACACTTGTCTGATTTTCATCAAGCTCCTCCAAGAAGTATAACTTGTAAAAATATTTGTGAAATGAGAAAATGAAATATTATCAATTTGAAAAATTGTATTGATCTGTATGTACACTTCTTGATGTAGCTAAGTGTATGGAAATTTTTATCTCAGTTCTCAAGCCATCAGATACACCTTCCCTGACAAATGCTTGTTATTCATTTTACACTCCAGACAATCAGCATATAAATCAGCAGTGGTCCTTCCCCAAACCATCTTTTGCATACTTCATCTCTCTTATAGGTAGTGAATCATCACAGATGTTTCCTAACATTGTTTATTTGGTCTTGTTATAATAGCACCTAATGAAGTTGGTGCCTCATACAGCAAATGTCCCTGTCCCAAAGGTCTCAGTCTTGGGAGCTTATAGTCAAACCCTGAAACTCTTTTAATATGGTTACCGGGCAGAAGAAACTAGAAAGAGCTTATTAAAAAAAAAAAATAAAGCCATAGCAGACTGTATACTAAAAACAACTTAAGTCATTCTGAAATGCTTTCACAAAGGTGTTACAGCATGAAGTGATTTGTTTGCAAAGGCTCCACAGAAGTTCTTGTAGAGCAGGAGTTCGACATCTGATTTGCTTATCCATTACCACCTCAGCGAGAAAACTATTTCTTATCACAGCGATACCAACAACTTTCTGTGAGGCCACACACAGATACTGATGCTTAGCTCTTCAGACAAGCATTTTTCTCTCAATCAGCCATTCTTCATCCTCCCAGGAAAACCAAGTAGCCGGACCTTTCATTTTTTTCCAGATAGTATTTTGAAATACTTTGCGTAACGCTATTACTATTAACATACCAGCTTAAAAGCACCTGCTGTAGAGTAGCATTTCAATTTCCAGATAGGACAAAACTGAAAAAAGAATAAAACCCACAGAAAGTTCCCATGAGATACTAGTAAGGATAAGAAAGTGATTGCTCCATAGATGATTACTAAATCCAGAAAATGCCTAGCGACTGATGGGTTATGGAGTCTGTAGAGAACAGATAATTGGCTTGTATTGGCAGAATAAACATCATCATACTTAAGATATTTTTGTATTTGAGCCCTTTTTCTCTCTCCCAGCCTTCAAGCTTTTAAGGACATGGAGCTGTCAGTAACACATAGATGACACTCCAGAAATGCTTTGGATACTTTGTGTTAAAGTGCCCTAAGTAAAAGTTAGCATATGTAACTTAAACGTGTTTTAAACACATCATCTGGCTGCACAGCTACAGTGTATCGTGGTAACTTCAACCCTCCTTATTTACATGGCCCTGCTGTCTGTCACACTGCAAGTCACGCCCTTGTATCTAGAAGAGACAAAAAAAAAACCCAAACAAAACAACAAACCAACCATAAACTTCAGGGAAAATACTTCTACCTGTTTAGTAAAATGACTCCTAATGTTTTGTGTATGGACAAACTGAAGAACTATAAAGCAATCAGGAGGAAAATTATACAGGATTACACACAAAGCACTTAGATCAATGATATACTGAAAGAATCATTTGAACAGAAAATCACAAATATAACTCCAGAGTGAAAGTCACTGATTGGCATGATATAGGAGACTAGACAGTAAGAGTGAAACAGTGAAAGAAACCAACGGATGAAACTGTGGACTTCCCTTTGCTCGGAGTTAAAAACCATAACACACAACAGACTGTTAAACACAGAGCCTGCAGCAGTAGATGGACCAACTCTTTACAAGTTTTCCAAATATACAGGAGAAAGCGTAACGAGAAATGTTAACACAACTTTATTTGGACTTGTACTCTAAGTACTTAGAGCGCAAGTTTTATTAATCTAGTAAATTGTGGCAATTAATTAGAGATCAGTTCCCTTTAAGTATAATATAGAGTACTGGCACCGTAATTGCAAACATAGCACATGTCAACGCAGTGCTGTAAAGAGAATTTCTCTTGATTTGAGTTTCGAGTCTCCGCTCGGTATCACACAATTCTAAAATCACATCTCTCACGGCAGAAGCCTGGCCCTTACCCTCCACTGAAGCCCTTGGGGTCACTCGTTCAGTAGGTCTCATGTGGACCGCCAGTTTAATGCTCTGCATCTCAGAAATCATTTGTGCTATACTTTCCTGGAGACTGTTAAACTGCTGTTGTAAACTCCCTAGACATGAACTGACTTGTTTAGTGTAGTTTAGCTGTTCATTTAAAGGAATTAAAAGAGAATCAAGTTTTATGGAGTCATTCCTGTCTTCTCTGGTTAACAAAGCACCTTCTTTTATTTCCTGTGATATCCTGGTTTGCAGCACATTTTTCAGCTCTGCTATGACGTCACTGAGATCCTTCTGCTGTAAGTGATGGCTGGAGGCCTGTTCTTTGATAGCTTCTTGCAAATTTATTGGCCCCTTCTGTGCTTCAAGCACCAAGACTTTCAATTCTTGCAGCCTTACTCGATTAACATAGGTGGAACCAAGAACACCTATGATGGCTCCCAGTATAGAACCAATAATAGACCAGTTCTTCGTTTTTTCAGCTCTTGTTCGTTCTTTCTCATGGCTTTCCCTTACAGCTGCAGAAAAGAGAGAGAATTTTTCTCTCTCAGATTCTTCTGCATTTAAATATGCAGCTCGGTACCTCTTCTCTTCCTGCAAGAAATACAGTGATTTGAAGAAGGTATATGTGAAGGCTATGCAAGAAAAACCCCAAAACAAACCCCCAGTGCAGATGAAGGAATGGAAATGAAGAACATCCAGTAGTTCTGTTTCAGAAATTTTCCTTTTAATGTGGGATTTTCTTTATTAATCCTACTTAAGTCAATGAGACACTATTTTAAATCAAAACTGAGCAGTGGAAAAGGTCATCAGGAATTACAGCTGAATATCCCCTACACAAGAATCCGTCACATGCTGATGACAGAAAAGGGCTGCAAGTGGGCAAGGTCATTCTTTCCCTATAATGCACGCTTTTTCAGCCCAGCTTACTTCTCCAAACACTACCTTTACCACACTTCTCCCTTTCAGTTCTAAATCCCTTCAGCAAGAACTGAAAAAAGGACTGGACAGGGTGTCTTGGATACGTTCATCTCATGAACATACATGCTTCTTATTCCTCCGCATTCTCTTTCTTATCCTGCTCACAGAAAAATGTCCTTCCCTTTCTCCCTGTGTCTCCCAGAATTATTCTCTTTCTTCTAAGCCTTTATTTCTTTTGTGAGGTGGTACCAACACCTTAAAGACAGTGGGGACTTGAGTTCTACCTTTCTTTACAGTCCTGCAGAGCCCTATTCTTCTTTAAGTCTCATCCACACCTGATCCCTTATTTAGACAACTAGAGTTCTCTATTCTCTTCTGATGTTGCACCCACTGATCCCGGGGCTCAGTTTAAGCTCAGGCATTGGCACCCATTCCTTCCCTGAGCTTTGCCATAGGTGTACCTGCTTCCAGGCCTATTCTCTACTGTTGCTGCAGTTTCATCTGGATTTCCTGGACTGACGTGGGCTGACACCTTGCCTTTATCTCTGATTGATGGACTGTTTAATAACATGTTCTTGTCACCAGCCCTGCTTGGCTCATCCCGCTGAGGTGCTGTAGGACCGTGCCATGGTGGTGAGGATACTGCCCCAGCCTGCGCCGTGGCCAACCTCATCTTCCTGCTTGCCCTCCCTCATAGAGCAGCCGCCTTCTTGATGCTCTCTGACAAAAGCTTTAACGAGTTGCCTGGGTTTTGTAGCTGTACAGAAGGCAGTTGAGAGTATTTTCACAGATTAACAACCAGAAAGAAGCTTCTCTCATCATATGGAAGGTTAATTATTGAATCCCAGCTTTTTCTTGACTACTCACAAGTCACCACTACAACAATACATTTTCTAGGCTCACTATCTTCAGTTTTCTTGTCCAAATTTACTATCCTGTTTTAGCATTAACATATATCATTTGCACAGCAGATCAAACCATCGATAATAATTGACTAAAAAATAAGAAATTAACTCAGATCACTGTACTTCAGAACTGAACTGCATCTACAAAAACAGTCCCTAGTGACAGAAGCAAAGCACACAACTTTTCATCGTATTTGCCAGTGCTCAAGTACCAACAAATTACCTGCAGCAACCTGTGTTCCAGAGTAGCCAGTTCTAAATACTGGGTGTCATCCCGAGAGACCCTGTCCAAGCGGTCCCGAATTTCCTTCAGTTTGATCTGCTGGGCTTCCACGTTTTCACGAGCCTCTCGTACTATCCCTCGAGCTATCATAAAGACATTTTCAGCCTAAGAAGAAAGGGTATTTATTTTAGAAACTTATTACCAGACAGATCTAAATCACTAATTGTATGAACTTTTTTGGGAAAAAAATCCCAACAAAACAAACCATGCTCCGTTTTAATTTAAGGGATAAGCTGTATTCACTAACATGCATAGACTAGAACACATTTGCAGTATCTCCACAGACAAAGCAGAAGACAGGACATGATTCTCCTCAGGAGATCTTCTTTGCCTCACAGCCAGTGTTTATACTTCGTGTAGCTTAACTCATAGTTCTTAAATTTCCACATTATCTCCATGTTTACCTCTGTCACTTTTCCCTGAGCCTCTCGAACTTCATTAATTCCAACAAACTCTTCATATCTGTCCCACCAACTCTTGCATGTTGCAGACATCTTCTGAAGGGAGTTTTTTCCCATAACAGTCCCAGCTTCTGTCAGCCGATTAAGACGGCTCATGGCCATTTCTATCGCAGACTTGGCTTCAGGCCTCCTCGGTGCTGATGAGCAGTAAGTCCGCACTATGTATAAATTCATTTTTGGACTCCACTTTATCCACAAATGGGGATACTGCAGGCCACAGGACACCGACGACACACTTGACTTATATTTCATTGGCCCCGCGTCTTGAATTTAATCACTGAATAAAAGAGCGACAAGGATGAAGAAGAAAAAGTTATTGAAGTATGGCTCATTAATACCTCTTAAAACTACACATGTACCAAAACCAATTAAATTCAAGAATGGCTAAACCATCACTAGTCTTAAGCATTACTTACCTAGAGAATTTTCCACAATTTTCAACAAAGGGCAGTTCTGCCACAGATTCCTGCTTTTCTGTTGTAAGTACTCCCACCATGCTGCCTCATTGTTAATTCACTCTCTGCATGAACAGTGATTATATGCAGATCCAGTACCAGCAGGAGTAGCCTCAGAGTAGAGTAATTTAATGCTTCAGCACAGAAGTGATTGCCATATGAAATTTTGCTTTGTGCTTTCAGACTTTAGTATGGTGTGCCATGACACAGGTACTAACAGTTCTGCAAAAGAATAGAAAAGGAAAAAAGACAAGAGAAGGAAAAAAAATCTTGATAAGAAGTGGGTCTTGATAATTCCCTTTATCTTATAATCCACGGATACACAGTGTTAAAGAATGCAAAGACAAAAATATAAAGGACAGAGAGAAAACACGGGAGTGCTGAACTGAACACAACAAGTATTCTCATGAGACTGCCTACAAAAGTAAAACATAAGGAATAGCCACAAGATCAGAAATATATCAGGTAGTGAACACACAGCTAGGGCTGCATTTAAAAATGAGCTTAAAATTCTTGTTTATACTGCAAAAGCAGACTGCTAGTTACAGTTTGTTGTTTACTGATTTGTAAATAAGATGTTAATCTTCTACTGAGCGCATTTCTCTAAAAATTGTAAACAGGAAAACTTCCAAATAAGGTTTTATATGAAATCTGACTATATCAGATTTTGAATAATACATTATAAAAACATAGATTATTGAGAAAGCTTGATATCAAAACTTTGACAGTTTTTTTTAACTGTTTTAAAACAGCTTTCCATGTTAATTTTAGGTGTCTAATGACATCGTATATGTGCAAATACAGGCATCTCCACAGGAAAGGATTCTTCCATTTTGATCCACTTTTAGCTGGCTACTGAATCTGAATGCTACAGGTTAATTCCCTGTTAAGTATTTCTAACAAACAGCAATAACAGCAAGCAGCATTGTGAAAACCTTGTCAGTTGTTTTATATGCACAATAATATAGTGGATCAAAACCACAAAACCGTGGAAATGAAGTAAGTTTTTTCCTTCCAGCATCACTCATGCATCTTACCCTTACAACACTGACTCTATGTTGCAGGCCATGTACTAAAACCTCAGCTCATATTTGTCCTCTCTAGATTGCAAGATTTCCCTCTTTAACTGCACTACTACATGAAGTTTTACAAAATATTCAGGCTACTGAGGCAGTATATCAAAAAGAGAAAGAAAGTTGTGATTTTTAGAAGAATTTCTAAGTAAACAATTGCAACAAACTGCAAAGTAATCTTAGCCTGAGCTAACAGGACCTAAAGTCATCAAAGCTTCATCTGATATAACATGCTTTGCCCCTCTCTTGCTTCTTCTTGTAAGAAGACAAGTTTCCTCTGCCTGCAGTCAGTGACATAAAAACTCTTTTCAATGGTTTACACCCCAGCTGCTACACGCACTGGACACTGGTGGCGGGTAAGCCTGACTTTCACGGGTCATATCTTATTTTGCAGCAGCCTCTTTTGTCACAGCCAAAATGTAAAACCGGAATTTCCGATACGCCTCCACACACTCACAGCTCTACTTCTCACCCTTGAGAGGGGTGAAAAGTCAGTTTTCTCCACGTGACCGACCCCTTCCCTGCCGGACGGGGCCCTTTCACCGGACGCAGAGCTACGAGACTACGCTCCCGGCACCCTGCAGACCCGCCCGGCAGAACCGCTACTGCCCCCCGTAGCCACGCACAGGCCCGGGCAGCAGCACCGGTCTCACCTCAGGCACAGCAGGTGACCGGCGGGAGGAAGCGGCCCGCCG